AGATATTTACTTATTTATTCATGTACATTTTTGTACTAATCCGAATTCAGAGAATCCAGAGTTCAGTGTTCCAACTGTCTTGTCTTCTTTCACTCGCGTGCTTGCCAACCAATCAGGTTCTAGAAAAGTTGTCTCTCGAACTCACGTGTATTAGACTCAAGGTTAAGCCGCTCAGCCTAACGCGTCAAGGTCATAATTTAGACTAGACAGATCAACGTGAAGCCACAACAAGTATCACGGGGTAAAAGCGATTCAAGGTCATAACACTTTCTCTACCTAGTATGCTGTCTAGCCTTGCTCTAATACCTTGGCATCTTAAACCTGTCTGATGTCGTTGACGGTATTGTCTACTGATGGTAGGGAGTCATCTATAGTGATGTTTGTTTGCTCTGTTTTGACATTGAGATTATTCAGAGACCGTTATCAATTCAAGTACTCTTCAAATTCCATTACCCATATATTCCGCTGTTCTTAACCTTCAATTGTATCTTTTCCATCTTGTTCCTGACATCGGAAGTTTGACAAAACAGTTGTTACAAAGCATTCAACATGAGAATTTTGACTGTATCTTTCCAACACTTGGTATAAATGATACTTTCGGTCAGCGGTATTTTAGTAAGGTTGTTTTCTACTAGATGACATTGCTAATTCAATGAGCTATCTTCCTTCTTTCAAATAGGTTGTAACAAAACCATACAAAAACCACTTCAAAGTAAAATATATAATATTTGAGAATGAAATAACTTATTTCCCTTTATTTTGGCGTTCATCTTCAGTGTTCTATAATTTTGTATGTAGGCAGAGCTGGAAGATAGCTAGCAGTGGAATCCAGCATGAGCGTTTCTTCCAATTTAGGACTCTTTGGATGAATACACTCGAATTCTAGAGTTCATGTTTGCTCCAAGACTTCAAACTAACACCTTTCTTTTCAAATACCACCAAGTTACTCACACAGTTACTGAATTCAAACAGTCATTGACTTGTGCAAAAAGGGGAGGAATTTCACTCTATTTGTGATAGTTAATTCAATATTCTTATTGATTTTAAAGATTATATTTGATCAGCCTCTCTTCAAATATGATAATACTATTTTGTTACAAGGATTAGAGAATAAATTGTGTGCCCTGAATTCAACTTCTACCCATATTTCACCTATACAATATAAAAGTTTGTCATAAGAGCTAGAACGAAGCAATCGTCAAAGTAGGCTTGAATACCATGAGAGAGTATTCATTTGTATTCACTGGCAAAACCACATATTGCATAAAATGATAGACATAAACACAAACTTTGTGTAGGCATACACTTTCCTTTCATAAAAAAAAGAAAACTTACTCACCTAACAACCTACTTCGTTGTCGTCTTATTCTAAGCATAACAATACAGAATACTCATTAAAAAAAATACAACTTTCAGTCATTGTGTAGGGTGATATTTATGAAAATAACCTATTGTTTTATCTCTAGACAGTAAATTCTTTAAAATTATGAGAAGATGATCGAACGATCGTAAGTTTTATACTAAATAGGAACTAATATATATAAACTTGTGATTCTCACATATTACAGATACATATTGGTTTGTGAGTCTTATTGAACATGAAGCTCAATAATATCCACTGGTTATTTATCATTTATTCATACAGTAAGTGTAAATATTTCATTGTTCAATGTAAAAACCCTTTTATATTTTATATAAGAACTTTCGTCTAAATTTGATTGAATAGTTTTACAATATTTGAGCATCAAGTTGATGTATGACATTGAGATGGTGGAGAAGATTTGTAGCTCAAGTGGATGATTTTGGTGAAGTTTTGTTCTCTGAGCTGGATGGTTTGGTTGTGGAGCTTTCATCGTTCTTCTGGACGACATCATCAGCACAAACTTCAGATAGAAGTTTGTGAAGTTTGTGCTGATGATGTCGTCCAGAAGAACGATGAAAGCTCCACAACCAAACCATCCAGCTCAGAGAACAAAACTCCACCAAAAAGATGTATGACATTAAAGAGGAAGAATGTTGTATTTGTAAAATCTCAGTGAAAGAATTTGAAGTAGATCCAACATTTTGTCTGACAATCTTGTCTAAGCTTATTCAAGGAAATATAGTCAAACATTAAAATGATCGAATATAAATAGGGATATGGTTTTCCGGTTCACTGTGTACTGAATAGGTCATCTAATCAATGTTTAAAGTAGGTTGTTGCATTAGTGTGTAAGAGACATGTAGTGTGAAATGAAAAGTGTTAAGATAACAGATTGTGTGTGTAAACTTAAGTGATTTCAAATTCACTTGATGTTGTTTTACTTGTATCTTCCCATTGTTATTAAGGACTGTAATTGATCAGTCTCATGTTGACATATGTGCATCCTGTTTGGATTGCCTCGATATAGCCTTAAGTCACAAGCGTTTTAAGCAAAGATGATTTCAATCAATGGTTGTAACTGAATGTTTGTGTTATTTATAATGTTCCAGTTAATTATTTAACATATACAGATTAGAAACGTTGAATGTAATTGCTGTTATTCAGATAATATGAGATAGATAAAATGGAATAAGTAGCTCATGTTTACTTATTAATTATTAGTTGCCATGGGACAGCTAATTGTATTCCATTCCTCCTATTATTACTGTTTAGATTTGTTCATATGTGTAGGGCTTCGGCTATCAGTCTCTATTTGTAAGAATTAAAACCTTTCTGAAGGATTCTTGTGCCGTTGAAATCAATTGTATGACCCTATTCTATCGAGTGTAATGCTATCATTGATTTGTTCTCAAGTTTTCTTATATCATCTGAGGATTTAGGAATGTGCTTTCAGCATAGTTTATATTCCTTCACGCTCACATTCAGTTGTCTTGATGTTTCACCTACCTATGTGTCATTACAGTCACAACATTTGATTTTATAAACATAATTCCGTTGTTCCCCCTAGTGTATTAGATCTTTGATTCTTACTAGTTTTTATCTTAAAGGATTGTTTATTCGAAAGAATACAATTATATTATGAAGAGTTACGATCCTTCTGATCTCTTGTGAAATGCTTTTCCGATATGAGATCATCACTGTGTTAATCCATTCTTTTTTTAATTATATCATTTTGCTCTTCATTCTTAATTATTCTTTTAATAAAATCCTTCGGTGAATTATTCATTATTAGAATGGATATAAAAGAAATTCATTTCCATTTCTATATCACTTGATTCATTGACAAGTGAAATAATCAAATCAAACTTTGTAATTACATAATGAAGAAGTTATTTGAAAGGAAAAACAGACTATTTACAGATGAATTGGTTTTATGAATGAATTAAGGATAATGTGATGATTAGATTAGTGTTATAACTTGTGGGTACGTGACCCTATGAATATATAACATAATGATAGTGCCAATTAGAGAACAGTGATTTATCGACAGGGCCAATGACGTATAAACCTGTACCAACAGTCTGCAGTCTTTATCGGCCCTTCTTCTTCCTGCTTAGCCCTGCCTCTTAAGTCTAGAATACAAATATCAACCTCTGCAATATGAATCATTTATTTCAAACAGACTGGCTTTATATACCAACCAAACAGACCACATCGTAGCATAAAATAGGAAACAACATTTGTACAAGATCTAGCCAAATGTGGCTATGAATGTGGGAGACGAGACTGTAGTTAATAGACTGAGCATAACTCAAGAATGCTGAATCGTACAATAACAGTTAATAGATCAAAATGAAGCTTATGACAAGAGAAACACAAATATGAAAAGCTTAGTTGCTTAGCAATTATACGATAAAAATATACGTATAGTGTTTGTCCTGAAATAGATTCCAACAGTTACTATTCATTTTTCTCATCGGAATAGAAGATAACAATTAGACCATGTCAGTAAAAACATAATCATCCAAATACCTATGCTCTATTGCTTCATACTGTATTCAAAACAACTTGTATGTTTATCTCATCATTTATATTGGTTGATTAAATCTTCCCACTAGTGTCTAGGACTCTAATTAATTAGTTCATTGTTGGCTTATACTACAATCTGTGAAAATTGATTTGATATTGTTGTTAAGTTACAAGCCTTTATTTAGAAAGCAGAAATGAATGGAGACTAACACTGAAATCAAAGATGTGGGTTACATCCAATCCAGCATTATTTGAATAATGTGAAATATGTAAACTGATTAGCTGATGTGTAGTATGAAGTAAAAGTAATCACATTGAATGAATTCATTGAATTCCGCTAATATTATAATCCCTGATTAGTTCAAATGGATTATAATGAATGAATAGTTGTTGTATTCGAGTCGAACTATTACTACATTTACATTTTGTGTAATCTACTCACATTAGTGATGATATTATGGTTGATTTCATTCAACCACTAGACATCTGCTGAAATCTATTCAGCATTACATAATCGTCATGAAGTCGTTATATTCAATATCAGTCACAGATTACATTTCATTCTTGTGTAAGATCAAATTCAAATAGACGATTTCTATCAAATCTATAAAATTGAATTGTCACATGAGAACTTTTCTCTCACAGACATTCAACGTCTCATAGTATCAATGATGATTGTAAAAGTTGACTGAATATTCACCAAATACTAATATTGATTTACCTACTGAATCTGGAACTCATTATCATGTCATCTATATGCTGATTATTAATGAAATTGAACAAGACATGAATGCTGGTTACCAGAACTAGCCATCATTAGGTGTGTCTTAAAAATACTTATGACCAAATGAGAATGTTGAGATTAACCTATCAGGTTGCATGTATGCCAAGATGAGACCAATCAACTACAGTACGTAACATATACAGTGAATTAGTGAAATCTGTACAAATGAAATCACTACAGATTGATCGGATTGTATTAGAATTCTTAAAATGCATATCAATTGTGATTTGTCAGCTGATCTTAGAATATGGCTTCTTTCAAATTCGGAATGTATTATTTCATTCTTTTATAACCATAGTTATATTGGAGACAGTTAGTGGATTCATGGGAAATGTGTACCTATCGAGTAATGTTGATCCAAGTAAGTCATACTATGAAAATGACCATATTTGTAAATCTGTTAAATTCTATTGAATTTGAAAACATCTCAACTGTTCCTTGTGTCCTTCTAATTGATCAATTAATGAGGAACATTTTGAGATATTAATATATTATGATTATTGTTGATAATGGGATAGCAAAACGTATATGATTGACTGAAGTTGTAATGGAAATGAAATGAGATGAATATGAATGGAATGAGGAACTTGATATCAATTGTTCTTTGTGATAGTTGAATACATCTAGTTTGATTTAACTGAGATTTCAGGTATCACATGTACTGTGTCACCGATTTTACTCTCATTAAACCGTTTGTTTTGGTTATTTGAGAATCTCGTCAAAATTTACTAAGCATGTCAATCATGATGAGTTGAAGCCTATACTCTAATTGATTTTTTCGAGATTCCTTCCCCTCCCTCTCTAAAAACAAAACAGCACATTGAGTCAGAGTGGAGTGTGCCTCAACTATTAAGATCGTAGTCAACTTATAGACAGAAGGGGTTTGTGGAGATTTTTAGAAATTTTCACAGTGGAGTACAACCAGGTCTGTTGTGAGATATCAACTCACTGAAGACAATGGTATATGGTGGCGCAACTTCGTGGATTGGTTGAAGTTAGACATTAACACCGTTGGATACGTTGGATGCCGGCTTAGTGGTCTATTGGTTAAGTGCTCGCGCGCGAAGCCAGTAGGTCCTGGGTTCGAGCCCCGCGTGATGCGGGATCGTGGATGCCCACCGCTGAGGAGTCCCATACTAGGACGAAACGGCCGTCCAGTACTTCAGGTTTTCAATGATAATCTAGCTTCAACTGACTCATGATTTCAATCTGTGAAAATTTCTAAAAGTCTCCACAAACCCCTTCTGATTCCATTTTGTAACGTAGATAATTGTCTCATATACAACATGATTACACTGTAACTCTTTTATATTAGGATGAAACAACTGTGATTCCCCGTTTACAATATTTGTCATTTTGTAATAATAAGTATATATTATGTGGTCAACAGTCTATTTAAGTGGTATATACTAACAAGTAAACATAGTTTACAATAACAATTAGTATTCTAATTGTACTGTCAACATTATATCCAAAAATTGTAATGAAATAGATGAACATTTGCATTAGCTCTATTCTGTATACTAATTCCATTGTCTTCAAAAGTAACGTTAGACTGTATAAATTTTTACTTGCACCATTTTGTTAATATCTGTAGAGAATTCAGAAGGTACAACGTTCTGGTTAATACAAGAGCGTAAAGAATATCTATACTTTCAATGGATTCCATTTCAAAGAGAATATTATGGTGCTTTATTTCTTGAACAAAAGGATGATGTTTCACAACAAATGACAGATGATCTAGAAGAGGCAATGTTAATGACTGTTGCTCCAGCATGTAAAAATCAAAAGTACTTTCTGAGGCAATCAGTAGGCTATTCGATAATTGGTTATTATGATAAAGAATCAAGGGAACTACATTTTAATCGAAGTGAGTTTGATTATTTTTTAAATTGAATAAATACAACTGAACATTATGAACGTAATTAGAATTATTCCACTCACCACTGATGAAAATTGAAATCTTTAAACAAATTACGAAACATGGAGAATTAATGTCATGTATTCGAAAAACCATTTTTTTTAATTAACCATCTTCATAAACTGAAGTCAATGATATCAGAATTTGCAAATCGTTTATATGTGCACCTAAATAGAACAATTTGTATCGATCGTTTCTATCGACTTAGATCTTAAAAAATCTTGTTGACTGATTCGGTTCACACGATAAGACTGTGATATTATGTAATGTGTGCTACTCATGTTCACAGATATAAGTAGTATGTATCTGTTATATCCCGATGAGAATAACGAATGGTAACTGTTGGGATCCATTTATGAACAATTACTATACGTATATTCTTATCGTATAATTGCTAAGTAACTAAACTATTCTTATTCATGTCCCTCTTATTATAAGCTTTATTTTGACTTATGAACTATTATTATACGATTTACTATTCTTGAGTTATGCCTTGTCTATCAATTACCATTATCCACAGACACATTTGGTTAAATCTTGTACGAATGTTGTTTCCTATTTTATGGTACGATATGGTCTAGTTGGTTAGTATATAAACGCAGTCTGTTTGGAATAAATGATTCATATTGCAGAGGTTGAGATTTGTATTCTGGACTTAACTATCTGGACTAGGCATGAAGCAGGACCGATAATGACTCTAGACTGCTCATACGGGTTTTATATGTCATTGGTCCGATTGATAATTCACTACCCTCTAATTGGCGGTATTAACTCGTTATACATTAACAGGGTATACAGGCCAAAAATTATAACAAAATCAATAATTAAAAGTGAAATACCTTAAGTAGAAGGTTAAGAAGATTGAAGAAAAAAGAACAAGAACATAGAATGATTACTACGTAAACGAAAGAACAATCAAGTCTAAGATGACTGATTAACATTTTGCAAATGAAGTATTTATGGTATGATTCTCAGATTTTACTTAGAAATTCTGTAATTTTGTACTCAGCTACAATTGATTGACCCCATTTCTGTCCTCGTTCAACTTCAATTATATATATTATGAGTGTTTTGATATTTTGAAATGAACAGTTCTTGTACCATGGATCTTATACCCATATATAACCATATATATGTTATTCAATCGATTTTTTTCCTGGATCATTCTGATCACAGTTTTCAGAGTGGAACGAATTACATTTGAAACAAACGATGATAAATCTACCTCTTTAATATGGCAAATTAATGATCAAATTTGTTCAACAGAAGATTTAATCATAATATTTAAAAAAGATTCAACAGGATTTCATCGAATGTATACTATTTCTGCTAATGAAAGAAATTATCATTTCACAAATGGATTAAATGATGATGAACATGTTATTATTACTACTTATCATGAACATGCATTCGGTTTATCTGAATTAGGTAAATTTGTAATAGAAATATATTGATTAACTGATAATTTACTGAAATTTTATTAGTATTATTTATATTACTAAACTACTACTAATACTACTATGGTATGTACTACTGATATCGATAGATATAAGTAGTAAGTCATATCAATCGAAAGTGAAATACTTAATGGCAGAAAGTTGTGAAAATCGAAGAGAAAAGAATGAGAATAGAGAGTGATTGATATGGAAATGAAAGGATAACAAAGTGTGAGACAATTGATTGATATTTTGCGAATGAATTATTTACTGTATAATTCTCAGATTTTGCTAAGAGATTGGTTATCCCCGTCTGTGTTCTCGTTTACTAAACTACAACTAATATATAAACAATAATAATAATAGTCATTTTATTAACTAATTTCGAGCTTTAGTTTACTAAGTTTTAGTCAGAAGACTTGAATGGTCTAGTTCAATCGTATCAAATGAGTGACTGTTATTCACTTCAAATAATAGGAATCGGTTAACACGATATCGCGAATTGATAACAGTTGGAGATGTTCATCATATGATGCCGACTGAATGGTTTAAATGTTAAATTGTTGCAGATAGATCCATAAGTACTTGATTAGATTCCATATGCGGTTGTTGCACAAAGACACTGATACTGAATATTCAGTACCTCCCAATTTTCAACTGAGTTCTAACCAAATTTAATAAGTTACCACTTCTATGAAAATTTACAGTAAATGTTCATTATTGAGAGGGATAGTTCATATTCAACTTGATAAACACTATCATAAAGTCGTATCCTTTTTCTCTGCAAGAACAGATTTCAGTTATATAGAAAATAGTGTTATATTAGCTTTGCTTTGTTAATCGATTGCATCGATAACTGTTATAATATAAGTTTCAACGGTGCAGTGAAAAGCGGCAACTACAGTTTATTAGCGGATAGCTCAGATCACAAAGCTATGAGCACATCGAGCGAATTTGAAGAGGACAGGCGATTAGGTATAAGTGAGCAATTACATATAAATAAATTTCTAGTCGAATTGCATAAGGGCGCAGCAAGGTAAAGCAGGGTCTAATAATGGAATGATGAATCATCGAATGATATCTCAGCAATCAACATTTTAGCTCGAGTCTGTCATATGCTCTAATGATCATAAGGACACAGAGCAATATTTGAATTACTACCATTCAAACATGATTGTCTTTTAAGTAAGTTAATAGAAGCGCTTAACCAAAATTAACCATAATCGAAATTGATTGTAGGTTAGTTGCTATAGTGTCAGTACTGAAAATATTCTATAAAAATAATATAAATGTTTCTTTATTTATCCATAGAAAAGTGAAGATAAATTTATTGACTCATCGATCTCCATTTTAAAATGATACTTTTAATGTTCGTCATTACTGATCTGTACGACATAAAATATTATTACTCACTGACTTTACTTAAACATACCAAAGTTGAATGGCTACATTCGGTTAAAGGGGCTTTTATTGAGTTGTATAGATGTCTTTATTGACATTGAGTAGTACATCGCTGATTACTACAAACAATTCGTTCATATTATCGAAATAGTCAATTTTATTCTTATCAGAATATCACACTACTTACTCACTATACTTAGATAAACTTCATGTAAGTCGGATAGGGATATGAAAATGGCAGTTTATGGAACTCATCAGTTTTTCTTATCAAACTAACATCATAATGAAATGAACGGGTTAAAATATGCACGAATAATGGACTGTTGTTTTTTCGATTTCCCCTCTTCTATTTATGATACCATGGAATGAAACGAACACTGAACAGTTGTGAGTTATTTGATATTATTAACTATAATTTATAATATAGAACACTTTTTACCGAATTTACATATCATAGCTTAGGATGTATGATGATGTTAATTAGATAATCATTGTCAAGAAGAAGCCAGTAGTTGGCTGTTCCATTGAGATATTCAGTAATATTCATTCATAAACATAGGACGAACAGTTCTCCACAAATACTCATTGTCTTTACAACCATCACACAAAACAAACGAATGTCTTAAATCGGAAGTGTAGCCAATGTTATTATTTATTTGTCAGGTATACCGTTGTCCACTATCCGTTTTCCTCTTTATCACAATCTTATATGTAGTTATACGGATGTCCAAAATGTGTTAATCTTTACTTACGTCTATCATGCATTCTTTTCTTGAACACTTTCAAGTTTCATGATTTTGTGTTTTTCTTATCCCCACAGATACATAAAAGCAAATCTAATGTGACAGGTAATATCATTTATTATATTTTTGAGTGGCCAAAGTTGGGTTCTCTTTTCAATGAATTAAGTATCAATCTGTACATGAATTTGTATTCGCACACAACCTGAAGGCGTTATATCATATCTCACTCGATAACTGTTATAATATAAGTTTCAACGGTGCAGTGAGAAGCGGCAACTACAGTTTATTAGCGGATAGCTCAGATCACAAAGCTATGAGCACATCGAGCGAATTTGAAGAGGACAGGCGATTAGGTATAAGTGAGCAATTGCGTATGAAAAATTTAGTCGAATTGCATAAGGGCGCAGCAAGGTGATGCAAGGACTAATAATGGAATGATGAATCATCGAATGATATTTCAGCAATCAACATTTTAGCTCGAGTCTGTCATATGCTCTGATGATCATAAGGACACAGAGCAATATTTGAATTACTACCATTCAAACATGATTGTCTTTTAAGTAAGTTAATAGAAGCGCTTAACCAAAATTAACCATAATCGAAATTGATTGTAGGTTAGTTGCTATAGTGTCAGTACTGAAAATATTCTATAAAAATAATATAAATGTTTCTTTATTTATCCATAGAAAAGTGAAGATAAATTTATTGACTCATCGATCTCCATTTTAAAATGATACTTTTAATGTTAGTCATTACTGATCTGTACGACATAAAATATTATTACTCACTGACTTTACTTAAACATACCAAAGTTGAATGGCTACATTCGGTTAAAGGGGCTTTTATTGAGTTGTATAGATGTCTTTATTGACATTGAGTAGTACATCGCTGATTACTACAAACAATTCGTTCATATTATCGAAATAGTCAATTTTATTCTTATCAGAATATCACACTACTTACTCACTATACTTAGATAAACTTCATGTAAGTCGGATAGGGATATGAAAATGGCAGTTTATGGAACTCATCAGTTTTTCTTATCAAACTAACATCATAATGAAATGAACGGGTTAAAATATGCACGAATAATGGACTGTTGTTTTTTCGATTTCCCCTCTTCTATTTATGATACCATGGAATGAAACGAACACTGAACAGTTGTGAGTTATTTGATATTATTAACTATAATTTATAATATAGAACACTTTTTACCGAATTTACATATCATAGCTTAGGATGTATGATGATGTTAATTAGATAATCATTGTCAAGAAGAAGCCAGTAGTTGGCTGTTCCATTGAGATATTCAGTAATATTCATTCATAAACATAGGACGAACAGTTCTCCACAAATACTCATTGTCTTTACAACCATCACACAAAACAAACGAATGTCTTAAATCGGAAGTGTAGCCAATGTTATTATTTATTTGTCAGGTATACCGTTGTCCACTATCCGTTTTCCTCTTTATCACAATCTTATATGTAGTTATACGGATGTCCAAAATGTGTTAATCTTTACTTACGTCTATCATGCATTCTTTTCTTGAACACTTTCAAGTTTCATGATTTTGTGTTTTTCTTATCCCCACAGATACATAAAAGCAAATCTAATGTGACAGGTAATATCATTTATTATATTTTTGAGTGGCCAAAGTTGGGTTCTCTTTTCAATGAATTAAGTATCAATCTGTACATGAATTTGTATTCGCACACAACCTGAAGGCGTTATATCATATCTCACTCTTAGTATTCACATTAGGTAACCTAGTACTACAATCCTGTTATTACATAATCATCTTTCTTCAATGCATTTACTTTATCTCACACTAATTAAATACATACCATTGCATAGTTTGATGCAAAATTCGTAGAAAAGTAGGAACTCATTGGTTAATTTCATTTTTCTTTGAATAATTAAATTCCCATTGAAAATTGTTACTGATCACTGAATACTCATTAAACATCTCAGAGGTTATTTCAGTTTAGTATCGTCAAAGGTAACGTATTAACGCTTAAATCAGTTTGATCATGAATATTGAAATGAAGTCTCAAGAGAGACGAAATTCACATTTCACAGTTTAAATGGACTGAGTCAGTTCTGTTTGGTTATAGATTTTAAATCTTTATCTCAACTTAATGGAATCAATAAACGATAATTCACAGTGAAAACATATCTTGATCATCATAACTCGTTAAGTGAACTCACTATGTCAGACTACAATAATAATAATGGCAGAATAAGAATTCATGGCAAAAAAAACAGGGTTTCCAGTAGTAATACAATAAAGTTTAAATGAGTTTAACAAGCTCTATCATGTGTTGTGTTCTATGTCTTTGAACAGATATAACAAGATATCACAATTGACATTGTGATGGAACACTCTCATCAACATCATCACAATTTTTAAAAAAACATTATTGTTTAATCATCTACCATTTTTGTTGACATTGATATTTCTGCTATGGTTGGAAAGAGATGTGAAGATTGTTGAGTTACCATAGTTTACATTATGAGCTGATTTCAATTATGTATTCACTGAAGAGTAGGAAACACTGAATATCCATCTATTGAAGAATGTACAATTCTGGAGGAATGTGTTGCACACAATGTCCGACATTCTCTTTCCGAGTTCCATTCATCATCTGATTGACACATCAGAACATGGAATCTGGTTAATTATGATTTATTATAATACCTTTGTTATGAACACTAGTATATGATGTGAAGTATCACGTTTAAAGATTAAAATGTGATTGTTATATTGATAAACACTGTTGAGCAGTACACAAGGGGTATTTGTACATTCACATAATCTAGATGAATATTTGTACCCTACTGATAGAAAATATGAACACTTTCAGCAATACC